ATTTATCTTACCTCAATAAATTTTACAAAAAAATTAGCCAGTTTGTAGTTAAAAAGTTATCTTTGAATATGAAGCTATTTTTAAATGGTTGTGAAAATGATTCATTTGAAATTTTTGGATAACATAAATAGATGTTATTATTTGCAGCCCAGACACTAATATTTAAGAGTTAAATTTTGTGGAATTTAAAATCAGGTTACTTATGCAGACTTTTGATGAGAGTGTGAGAAAACGATTACATGACTTCTAGATCTTTCGAGCCATCTTAAGGGTCAGCAATGCTGAACTAGTTTGCGGATGTACTGTACCAACTATCACAGAGCATATGTCTTAAAACAACTCATACTTATTGCCTTATAAATCTGGAGGCTAGAAGTCTGAGATCAAGGTGTCAGGAATGTCCCACTCTAAAGCCTAGGGAAAAATCATTCTTTGTCTCATCTAATTTTTCCTGGACATGTTTTTCCATTGCCTGTCTCTGCCTTCAGGTGGTTGGTTCTTGTCTAGCTGTCTTTTCTTATAAAAACACCAGTCTCTTTGGATCAAGGGCCTACCTAAATCCAGTATGACCCCTCATAACAACTAATTACTTGTATTATGATCCTATTTCCAAAACCTCCACATTCTGAGTGTACAGATTTAGGAGACCATATCATTTGGGGGATGTAGTTCAACCCATGGCAAGAGATATGAGAATATGGACTACACTGTAGGATTTTCTATGGAGAGTTGTTGCCTAACCTGAAGAGTAGGTAACGTTTTTGGCTTCTAGAGAGAACTGAAGGCAGGAAGAGCCTTGTGTTTGTGTAGTCCATGCAGGAACACAGTCCTCTACCCTTGAAATTCTTTATAGCTTTCTAGTAGGGGATGCTTTGTTTCCATCGTGCACCATGGACTATACATTATGTGGACACCCCCAAAGAGATAGCTGTGTACTTCATGCGCATGGCGAGCAATGCAGGCTGTGACTTAACTGATACCTTGTGAATGCTGGTTTGTGACAACTGAACTGAGGGGACTGACCTGCCCCATCAGCATGCCTCCAGACTTTATCAGCTCCTAAAAAGGGGATGCTTATAAAATATACATTGGCCTCATTATTAGCACTGTGGGGAGGGATGTTCAGTGATAGGGATGTCTAAAAGGCCACAGATACTCAGGAAGGGAACGTTAAGATCATTCAAGCCAGTGAACAGAAAGGAGTTACAAGGAAAGCCTTTGGCTAAAGCCACTCCTAAAGCTTTACCACCCCAATAAACAAAGTCTTACTGCCACCCTGGGGGAATCTGAGAAAAAAAGAAAAAGGAAGTTTTAGACACTGACATACAAGAGAAAAGTCATTTTTTTCCACCCCAAGCCCCCAACCTAAAGCATGGCCAACTTAGAGAGACAAGAAGAGAACATTTGATATTACATTAAATTTCATTTTGGTTAATAATACTAAACAGCATTCTCATTTCTGAATTTGATTCTAAGGTGACCTAGATAAAAAGAAAAAAATACTTGCCATGATTTTCACTTATGAGAAAGACATTTCTCCTTCAATAATTTTTATGTGACTAGAAGATGCTATAGGCTAAATGTTGCCCCTAACCTCAGTTCTGTAGACTAAATTTCTATCCCTGATGTATAACTATGTGACTATATTTGTATATGTGGTCTTTTTAAGGGTAATTTAGGAAAAATGAGGTCATTAAGAAGTGTCTCATCTAATATAATTCATCCTTTTAGATGAAATTAGGACATAGGCACAGGGAAAAATATCACATAAAGACAGAGATAAGATGCCCATATCTGAGATAAAAGAGGCCTTTGAAAGAACCAGCACAGACACCAAATATAAAACAAAAATTTCAAAGCAATTTTAACTATCATATATCTAAATTTACACAAAAGAATTTGACTTATATTTTGTAGTATTATAATATGATGTGCATTTATAGGTATATAAACATAATTGCATAGTTATACAAAAGGACACTTTTGTTTAATGTAATGTATATGAAGAATATTATGTATGACTTCTTATGGTGGTAAAATTGATTCCCCAGGTAGAATTTACTCCAGAAATGTGAAATTCCTCTCCATTTCCTCTCACACAATGGAAGGTCACCAAGACTGAATGTTATACCCTGCCACTAGTACCCTGGCTTAAAGTGTTGGGCTTTGGATCAGTTTACTGTCAAAGTCCGTTAGGCAATGAAGCAACCAAAATCATATATTAAGCCCATGGTTTTGTAACATATCTGGTTTTAGAAACAATAATGAGTGACCAAGATTGTCAATGATCAAGCAACTTGATGGAAAAGAGGATGGGTTTCTTCCTTTTTTTTTTTTTTTTTTTTTTTTTTGATAAGAATGTACAATGAGACTTCACTCATGAAAGAAATCAGATTCACATCATCTTCCACATATATGGCAGTTTGAGTTAAAGTGTTTCAGAGATGTAAACTTTAATATTTTATTTTATTTATCATAAGGAATAGAGTTTTAAGTACAACAGCAGGAGAACAGATAGGTGGGCTCAGTACTGATGATTATACATAACAATTGAGACAATCTGTTTAAAGTTTGAGATGGGCACTAGGCAGCAGCCATGAGAAATCATCCCTTACTAGGAAATCTATCAAGCAGCTCAGAGTCATAAGGAGCTCCAAGGTGGTAATACAGAGGTGAGTGTGAGTGGCAGTGGCACTAGCTGAAAGTGTCAGGAAAGCTTGCCATCACATGATAGAACCTTTCTTTCAGCTGTGTGGACAGACTGAGGTTTTGACACAGACAGGCAAAAACATATCCTACTGGCTTCCACCCAACAACTGGGAACTGAGTGTATCAGGAAAGTGAGAGTCCACATGCAAGCCCACAATGGGGTTGTAGTTTCAAGACTTGGGTAATACATATACCAGTTATTGAATATCGTGTGCGTGCCAGTACCTCCTGCAAGAACTTGTGCGTGTCATTTTCACATCAAGTTTCATGCACTTTCAGCAGTAGGGAACATGTGTTTCTAAAGAACAAAAACAATAAATAAAAGAATGAAGGATAAATAATTATGACCAAATCTAATAATTTATAGGTCAAGTAAAAAGTGGTATGGATGAACTAATTTGCACTGCCTTATTATTATTATAAAAAAGAAAAAAAATCTTAGAAACCACCCAGCATGTGAATACCACTTTCAGGTACAGAATAAACTAATCTTAATTTTACATTTATACCAGAAAATAATGAAACACCATCTACAAATTTCTTGTCTGAAGAAAAATTACTTGTGAACAAAGCATTTCAACAATTTTTTTCTAGGACAAAGGCCAAAGAAAGATTATGTATCTATTTTTTTAAAATATGTATGTTTTAAATGTAAATTACTTATGATACCTTACTATTCACAAAAAGATCAAAAGCATAACTAGAGTAACACAGAATATTTTACACTCTGTTAGGATGTTCAAGAAGCACCATTTCTAAGTTGCTGCACTAGACAGACGAAAACTTTGCCCATTCCAGCAGCGTAACGAGTGCTGGATGAGGATGCCCTTCCTTCTCCCGTAACACCGGCGTTTCTAATCAAGTAAAGAAAACAATTTCTATATGGAAGGCTGGATTCATTTAACAACATACATTAGCAAAATACATTTCCTAAAACTTGGTTTTCCTCAGGTTAAGATTCATTGCTACATTCACTTATTTGATTTAAAAAGATTAGAATTGTGCTTTTGAAAAATGAAAGAGTTTAACAAGGATACAATTACTTATCTTTGATGTTTTTCGTTGGTTATTCCTTGGTTACTTGTTTTTCATTAAAAGTATGAACATGGAAAAGTAATAAAGATAAAGAAATTTATTTTGAACTACATTCATTAGTCTGTATTTTATGTAATCCAATTAAATGAATATGTGTTTCCCAAAAAGTCTGTATTGTTTAGTTTGAGGGTATAACCATCGAAAATACTTTTTTTAGGAGGTGGGCTTAAGAGAGATTTTGGTTGCAACACTGCCTTTGGAATGTTCCCTCACCACTTCAGGTTTCCAGAGAAACCTTGAGGAGCACTTTACATAAGCAGGGCTCTCAGAACCCACTTCTTCAGTTGTAGACTGGAGATCCAGAGTTTTAAGTTATTTGGAGAGCTTATTTACTCATATTTCCTCAGACTACTTTAATGTTGAAATGGTCTTTCTCATTATACTCTCTCTGACACTGCGAGGAAGAAAACAGGAAAAACTCACCAGTAATGGAACCACATTTGTCATAGCTAAAAGAAGAGAGCAAATTTCATAATTATTTTGATAGTAATCCTCATGAAACATTAACAATAAATGTAACAAATAAGTCATTCACATTAAGCACAATTTTAAAAAGAATACATAGTTTGAATTTGAGTTCTCTAACAGTGAGTTTACGATCCACATTGACATTTCCTGGATATTTTGAGAATTGTTGTAGTCAGCTTTAACCAGAACCATTTAAGAAAGATAAGTACAAGAGCCTATCATTAATGAGCTCCCTGGAGAAGCTAATTCTCCAGTCTTCAAAGCCCACCAACAAGATTGCACAAATATTACATGGTGTACTTAATTTAAAAAAGCCTAAAACTTGAAGATAAAAATCATCATCTCTGGAGGTGGGGACTTTGTCCTGAGGTTGTGGGAACAGGCACTTCCTTTTATTGAGCTCCATGCAATTTACTAACTTCATTTTACTTAATTTGATTTTAGTTTTATAAGACAAGTGTGATGCACTAAATAAAGTACCAACAGGTAGCAATCATTTAGTAGTTTAGTTTGTTAATAAGTGGATTCACCAAAATTCTATAAAATAGAGTTTTACAATTCAGGAAGAAGGCTCACAGGCTTGAGCTACCTTTTTATAGTTCACACAGCAGATGTCATCTGAAACCACATGTTTCCCTTGCCTGGAACCTTTTACAGACAGATCTGCTGCACTGTGTCTTTTGTTGTAAAGGTGATACTATCTTATGAGCTGAGTATTATATTTTCAGGTGTTTTCTTATACGGCTGACAAAGAAATCAGAACTGATGACTTGTGCTTGGATGTGTCCAGACTCAACGGACCTGTAATCATGCTAAAATGTCACCACATGAGAGGCAACCAGCTGTGGGAGTATGATGCTGAGGTATAGTATTTCCTGAACTTTCTCATTATTTAATCATTAAACTTAGTTGTGTATTTCCAAAGACAAATTCCAACCTATTTTTTCTGATTGGCAAAATTGTGTTTTAAGAATGCATGTTCAGGCTGGCCAGATAGCTCAGCTGACTAAAGCACCTGCTTAGGCAGAGCACAGCAGCCAGGGTTCGATCCCCAGCATGCTGTGCCAGCCCCGCCCCAGGGCATGCTGAGGCAGTGACTGAGACTGTGTGTGGTGGCACACCTGTAATCCCAGCGCTTGGGAGGCTGAAAATAGGAGAATCACTACGAGTCTGATCTACATAGTGAGACCCTGTATACCCTGTATGTACACCTGTCCTAAATTTATTAAAAAAAATGCATGTTCATATCTGAGAATAGTAGAGTATTAAATTATTTAAATAGGTTTTTACCTAATTGGTCCATTATTACAAAATAAGAATAGTCATTGTTATGTGCTTAATAGTTGCAATCGCCATGTGCAGGCCAATGCCAGTTAGACAAGGGCAAGCTGTGATTATCTGGGTGACAGGCGTGGGCATGTGCATGCAGGACAATACTGGCAATGTAGTTGTGTTTTCACATTTTAAACTCGAACTCTCATACTTGTAGTTCTTAACCTAAAATTTAAAATCTGACAAAATCAACAAGGTTTACTATTATGAAAAGTCTTGCACAGAATTTTTTACTCTTTGCCATAGTAAATACCTTATAGAATTTAATAAACTAACTAAACATAGAATTAGCTAAGCATCACTTCCCAATATAGTACCCTTTTCAGACAGAGATGAGGGCAGAAAAAAAAAAAAGACCAAATTATTTTTGGGAAATTATAGCCAGGCGGTGTGTAAAAACAAGTTCAGCCATCAGATGGAGCTCATAAATAGGAAATGTTTTCTCTACATAGAGACACAATCTCAGCAAGGACTTTTAGTTCTCTTTGCATAGCAAATGTATTTAGGAAAAGAGCTATACTTTTGCAAGAGAAATAGTACAGTAAACAGACTTCACAGATGCAGTGCTTCATGAAATCCTGGAATATGCTGAAAGGGGAGCATTTTAAAACCAACTTCACGTTTTGGCTATTGTTTGTATTTTAACAAGTTCTTCTCATTATTTGTTAGTATGTTTTTGAACAAGGTCTTCTTTTATAAATTTTTTTAAATGTTATTTAATTTGCATGACTATATTTTCTGAAATTAACTAGCAGAAAAATTCACTGAATTTTTATATGACTCAATGGACTGATTATGTAGGGTTAATTCATAGCCTAAAAGTGTTCATTCATAACTTAAAATTTATATGATGTTATCAGGCTCTTCATAGTAACATCTTTCAGACATAATTAAGGAATACCACTAAGCATACTTCCTCTGTTGCCCCACGGTGCTGTATTCCAATGTCTTCTTAACATATCACCCTTTTAGTTATTTTTTCTTTATCTGCTACCTCCATCCTTTTCTGTTAGTCCTACAGAAGACCTTTTTTCTACTAAACACAACCTGATAAATCTAGACCTTAATCAATGCTCTCGTTGTTCTATGAAGAAAAGTACAGATAAATGTGCAGATAAAATAGAAATCCTCCAAGTAGCATTTATTTTTTAAATAAAGCTTCTTGATATTACTGTTGCATTTCTTTTAGGAATCCAATGCTTGCTTAAAACATGTAAATCTAACCTATATTTATTCAAAAAGGAGAATGATTACATGTTTTTATAAAATATGGTTGTGTTGATTTTCAGCAGACCACTTTCAACCTTTAAACTTTTCTATATTTTCTGAGTGAAAATGGCTTCCATGGTCATAATTCAAGTTCTTTCACTTCTAAAATAATTTCTGTAAATAAATGTACATGTTTGTTTATGTATTCTGCCAATATCAAGGTTATTGGACACTAAGGAATTTCAAAAGAAAATTTTTAAAAAACCATAGCTTCTCATGTGAGAAAGAAATGAACTTTATAAACTTACTCTTTTGGACAATTAATAGTTATCTATTGCAATATTTCAAAGCAGTGCAATATTTTGAACCATGCTAATTATGCTTTTGGATTACACATAGAGCTTAATATTGAGAAATTGTACTTTACATAAGTAATCTGATCATTTAATAAGAATGTACCAGAACTTAATCTTATATATTTATTTTAAAAATAAATTGCAATGTTCAAATAGTGTAATGATAACAGTTTGCCAAATTTTAAAATGTGTAGCTTTGAAATGATGATTAATTACATGGCAATGGAGTCAATACTGGAATAATGTAGCCCTTTATGGAAATTTCACTTTTGAAAATTATTTATGTAGTCATTGAAAAGAAGGCACATTTATAATGAAATGGAAGTTTAATGACTACTTTTCATGATTTATTTTATATTTATGTGTTTTATATAAAGTTATTTTGGTCCATAGGACAATTCAAATACTTGCTGCTAAAGTTTGATTTTAGGATTAGTTGAATCTGCCAGGCACTTCTTAAGAAAAGTAGAAGTTAAGACATTATACTGCACTCAGTAAATGCAAATCTTTATGTTTTAAAACTTCACTAGGACATTTAATATATTTACACGAAAATGTGGTGTAGTAGTAGCCAGGCACGGTGGCACACGCTACAATCCCATGCTCACTGAGGAGGCCGAGACAAGAGGATCACTTCAAGTGTGAGGCCAGCCTGAGCTGCATCGTGAGCTCAAGGACAGCCGGAGCTACATGCAAGACCCTGTCCCAAAGAGCCAAAACCAAAGCAAAGCATTGGTGCATACAGTGACCAAACATCTGTGTACCTTTCATGGCTTTTGTGCAGTGATGGAAACCATTGCAAGCTTCAGAAAAGCCATGAATATACTTTGGAACATGAGCAGGAAAGAGAGAAAGCATGGGAGGTGGTGACGCTGAGATGTGAGATTCATGCTCAGTAGCATGTTCATCTCATATACCGACAGCTCAAAGTAGATGAGTGCTACTTACTGCTTCTGTCACTCTGTTCTGTATCACTTGACAGCAAGGGCAAAATTATTCTTTGAGGAACGTCAGAGGTAGTGCAGTTTTAAGGCAGAATAAAAACAGATAGACTTCACAGCATTACACAGTAGAAGTATAGCTTAAAGTTCCCTTCTCTACCTTTCACCAGGAGAGTGCTGAAGCTCGAAGATTACCATTCTAGCATCAAAGCTAGGATTTAGTTCCTAATAAAGTTCTCAGAGAAAGCTAGTTATCAGTGGAATTGTGAGTCTCATTGTGTGAGCAGCTGAAATAGCCCATCACCTTATCTCCCATAGTTCTTTCAATCTTAAAAAGGAAAGTCATAAGTAGGAGTAGAATTGTTGGAATGTCCAGAGAAAAATGGAAAGAGTGAATTGAAACTTTAATAGATAAAGTTTGTCCAGCTGCTTTGGTCTGTTTATTTCTTAGCTGAGAGGGAAGAGAAAGGAAAAACAGTTCATTGAGTGCTATAGTTTTATCTGCTTTCTCCTGCAACTCTGAACAGAGTCTCACAAGCCAGATATTATCATTCCCTTGTTTTTCATATTGGTAAGCTGGAACACAGAATAAAGCTTTTGTCTAAATTTGCACACCCGGGTTGCTGGCACTAAACCCACCCATTCTTCTACTAGATGGTTTTGCCTTTTTAAGGTGATTCAAGGACCACAAATACTAGATGCTTTCAAAAGAGATGTTCTAATAATCTAAATGTGAAATATTATATATAAATGAACTAATTAATGACTAATGTTATGCCTTGTACCAACTTATAGTCACAAAAATTTCTCTTTTAAATAACAGGAAAAGCGCCAGCAAAATAGCTCAGCAGATTAAATCACCTGCTTAGGCAGATGCAGTGACCAGGGTTTGATCTCTGGCGTGCCTTGCCGGCCCCAATCTGGGGCATGCTCAGACAGCAATTGAGGATTAGTGTGGTGGCATGAGCCTGTAATCCCAGCTCTTGGGAGGCTGAAAGCAGGCAGATCACTACAAGTCTGATCTCGTAGTGAGACCCCTGTAGACTCTGTACTAAAAAAAGAAAAACTAGGAAAGATATTACATGTTAAATATGGCCCATTTAGATAGACAATCATAAAACCACTGTGAAACTATGAACTAAATGTTTACAGATTTCATGTACACATCTTCATATGTAATTAATACCTAATTGCCTCTTTTTTTGGATGAATGGAATTAGGACATGTTGATGATAAATGGATAACTTTGATTAACTCTGATCTGACATATGGGGTTTCTCATATTCTTAACTAAATATGGCCTTAATAACATAACTAGAATTTAATTTGATTTTTTATTTTTATGGTACTGGTGATTAAACCTAGCACAGAGCTGCATCTCAGTACTTTTTTTATGTTTGAGACAGGGTCCTACAAGTCACTGAGTTGCTCAGGCTGGGCTCGAACTTGTGATCCTCCTGCCCTAGTGTCCCAGAATCCTGGCATTACAGTTGTGTGCCAAGATTTTCTCACTTTATAGTTGATCTAGCCTGTTTGATTTTGAAGTTTAAAAAATAATATACTACCTGTCTAGTCTCTGATCTCTTGAATAAATTACTCAAGCACTTCAATGGTCATGAAATGCTTAAACAGTTTTTAAAAAGGTGAATTACATTTCACTGAACCATGTTAAGTTGGTCTTATGAAAGTCCATCATTTATTTATTTCATTTTACTTGGCTTATCTTGTATGCTGCTTGAACATCACAATTGCATTCCAGCACTTTGCAAATTTACATTTGCCAACAATATGTGCACTTAATCACATTTCTTTTTGAACATCTAGGCAGCTACGTACAGTATGAGAATCTCATTTTACATCAAAACACTTATGTTCAACAAACACTATACAACAAAAAAAGGGAGCAAAATATGATACTAAAAATAAATCCTGTTTTTTATGCAACTGACAAAGTTGACAGAGAAAATACTTGCTATGAATTTTACATTCATCCATATAAAATGTTTCACAGAGGCACAATATAAG